TCTAAAACACTAATAGGGTTTTATATTTTTCTTTTAAGAGGATAGGATGGATGCTGAATTATGTCAAATATCTTCCTAAGCAGCCAGTAAGATGATGGTATAGTTTTTCTTCTTTAGCCCGTGAATGTCCTAGTGCTGAAGCCGCGTTGGTTCCTAAGGTCAGCCCTGTGTTGGTGCTTTTGCAGATCGGGAAGGGGAAGTTGCTACTGTTGAAAATATTACAGAAAAGGTAGCATGTTTTATAACCTGTGCTCCACCTGCTCTTTTTAACCGTAAATCAAGGAAATTGTCCTCTATCAGTTCATGGGGTGTTTCCTCATTTTTTTTTTTTTTATAGCTACAGAATGTTCCTTTGTGTGGTTGTGCCATAGTTTATTTATTCAACCAGTTCCCTAGTGATAGATATTTGAGGTGTTTCCAGTCTTCTGCTGCAGTAAGTAACCCTATAAATCCATTATTTTGTAGGTGTGTGGATATACTTTAAAATAAATTCCCAGAAATGGGACTGCTGTGTTAGAATGAACTGGAAAGCTTTCAGCCTTTTAGAGATAGATTACTTACAGATAAACTCTGATGGACTCAGATAAACAAGAGTTTAGACAACTTTGCTGTAATATATTCCTATGTTTGATAAAACATATGCAGCCAAGACAGTTGAGCCTGGAATTGTTGCACGTGTGTGTGGGTGTGTGTGAATATGTGTGTGCGTGCTTCTTTCATACCTTTTATGCTTCCTTCTTGATATTCATGCTTTCTCATAGGGATTCACATCCTTCAGTCTCTCATTTTTTTTTAATGCACTTAGATTTTCCAGCACATGATGGAAGCAAGGAAGGTGATAATCATTGTTAGACACTGAGCAGCTTGGGGCCAGACACCTTGGCAGGTGCTCTGAGTATATTATTTCGAACTCTCATTTCAACCACACCAAGAGCTCTTTTGAACTCTTTTTACAAAATGAGAAACCCAGAGCTCAGTTTGCTCAAGGTCCCCAGTTAGAAAGTAGTAAATGCAGAGTTTGAAGCCAAGTCTATCTGCTCCACAGCCATATCCTCTTTATTAGCCACACCTATCCAGGATTTACCCCCAATGTTCCCGTTCCCAGTCATTTCCAGCTAACAATGAGCTGGGAAAGACTGATGCGTGGCGACATGTCCTAATAGTTAAAAACAATACCATTCAGTTTCTGGCTTATTCTTTTAAATAACAGCTCTGTGTTGCTCTTTTTGATGCCAATCAGGTAAAATTAACAAAGACTTGTGGAACATCTGTCAGGTGGAAAGCATGGGGCTACATTCTGTAGGGAATATGGAAGTATAAGTCAAGACTCATGCTGGACAAGCTGAAGCCTAGTCTTGCCAAGCAATATGTACATTGACTGGTTAACCTATAAAGAACCGCTCCCATGGGATAATGCGACCAAACTGACTTCCCAGGGTAGGGACTTATACGTTGTGAAATAAATACAATCAATCAGTCAAGATTAGTTTACTCTTTCTGGGGGCCACACACCACACATCAAATTAAACTCCCTATCTGTAAGCTTATTAAACCTCTAAATCAAGTTGTGGAAAAACCAGCAAAGATTAGAGTATTCATTTCTATTGTGGAGGAATAACTTTGTAAGAACGAAGGCTACAGAAAAAAATGATAAAGAAAAAAATTGATAGATAGCAATGAAAAATTTCAGAAAAGAACTTAAAAATACAGTGGATTAAATGAATCAATGTGATAGCATTACTTTTAAAATAAAGATAATGGTTATGATAGCTTAAGTCAGAGGTGTAAAAAGCTTATTAAAATACATTAAAAAATGAAATCTTGATCCCAAATGATGGCCAAGAAACAAAAAGATGCTCTGCCTAAATGTCCTAGTAAACTTCATGGCTGAAGATAGGATAAATTCAAGAAAGATATAAAGTAAGAAAGTAATGAAAACATCTGCCATGTTCATATACTTTAACCTAGTTATGCTTCCCTTCCCTGGAGAATTCTTTTTTTTTTTTTTTTCTATTTTTTGAGACAGTGTCTTGCTCTGTTGCCCAGGCTGCAGTGCAGTGGCACAATCTTGGCTCACTGTAGCTTCTACCTCTCAGGCTCAAGCGATCCTCCCACCTTAGCCTCCCGAGTAGCTGGTACAACAGGTGCACACCATCATGCCCGGCTAATTTCTGTATTTTTTATAGAGATGAGGTTTTGCCATGTTGCCCAGGCTGGTGCCAAATGCCTGTCCTCAGCCTCCCAAAGTGCTGGGATTATAGATGTGAGCCACCTCGCCTAGTGCTGAGAATTCATTTTAAAGAAATTTTTTTGAGGATAGGAAAGCTAAATATATAAGAAACTTTAACATAATAGGGAAATGGTTAACTAAATTACAGTGTATCTATGCAATGGAACATTATTCAGTCATTAAAATAATCATTGTGAAGGCTTTCAGGCCACAGGTTTATAAAGTAATATTAAATGAAGATATCAGAAATCTACCTACAGAATTATTCTATTTCTGGAACAATAAGTTTTTATGATCAGGGCCTGGAAGTAAACACAGAGAAAAGAAAAAGAATTGTGTTTGGGTGAGAGTAATTGGAATTAAAAAACAGACTTTATTTTGTAGAGTAGTTTCAGGTTCACAGTAAAATTGAGAGGAAGGTACAGAGATTTTCCATTAACCCTCTGCCCTCATATAGGAGGCAGGTGCATAGCCTTCCCCATTATCAACGTCCTTCACCAAAGTTGTATATTTGTTAAAATTGATGAACCTACATTGACACATCATTATCACCCAAAGTCCATTATCACCCAGAGTCCATAGTTTACATGAGGATTCACTCTTGGTGGTGTACATTCTATGGGTTCGGACAAACGTATAATGATATGTATCCACCATTATAATATCATACTAAGTAGTTTCATTGCCCTAAAAATCATCCATACTACACTTATTCATCCCTCCCTCCCTGCTAGTCCCTGACAACAACTAATCTTTTTACTGTCTTCACCTTTTCCAGAAGAATGTTTTATAGTTGGAATGACTGGATGCGATGGCTCATGCCTGTAATCCCAGCACTCTGAGGGGCCAAGGTGGGAGAATCACTTGAGGCCAGGAGTTTGAGACCAGCCTGGCCAACATGGCAAAACCCTGTCTCTACTAAGAATACAAAAATTAGTGGGGTATGGTGGCGCATGCCTGTAATCCCAGCTACTTGGGAGGCTGAGGCATGAGAATCACTTGAACCCAGGAGGCCGAGGTTGTAATGAGCTAAGATCGCACCATTGTACTCCAGCCTGGATGACAGAGGGAAACTCTGTAAAAAAAAAAAAAAAAAAAAAGAACATTATATAGTTGGAATCATAGAGTATGTAGCCTATTAAGATTGGCTTCTTCCACTTAGTAATGCATTTAAGGTGACTTTATGCCTTTTCAAGGCTTGATAGCCTGTTTCTTTTTAGTGCTGAATAATATTCTATTGTCTGGATGTGCCACAGTTTATTTATCCACTCGCCTCCCAAAAGACATCTTGGTTGCTTCCAGGTTTTGGCAATTATGAATGAAGCTGTTATAAACATACATGTGCAGGTGTTTGTGTGGATATGTTTTCAGCTCCTTTCGGTAGATACTGAGGAGTGTGATAGCTGGGTTGAGAATTAATTTTTTAATATGAAATTTTGTTTTTGAACAAAAATGGTTTTCAAGGAATGAAAAGAGGAAAATTGTTGTGCTGGGATCTCTGGGTGTCTCAGCAGGTTATACCAACACTGTCAACACCAGCATCAGACACCCAGCCAGATGTGAGAGTCGAGTTGCCTCCCGAGTAGCTGGGAGCAGACTCAATTGCAGAGTTGGTGTCTTATACTCGTAGAGCTCCTCTATCCTCCTTGAGCCTTCAGCCTCTGTCTCCATGCTTCTCACTCAATGATCTCCTTTGCACAACCTCAGAGCACAACAATGCTTCTGTTCTGCATAGAGCACTCCCCTGTCTGGTTTTTTGTCATCCTTAGCCTTGCCCTTTTTTCCCCAAACGCAGCAGAGCAGTTGGCTGACCTCATCTTCCATGTCCTCTACCCATGGATTTCTGTTATCCCTACTCCCTCATCCCTACAACCCTCAATAGAAGTAATTCCAAATCAGTGAATAAAATAACTGGACTTTGTCATATAGAGGGTAATCCCCCAATAAACAGGATGCTGTATTAAACTCTTTCAAAAGAGTAAATGAGTTACCTTTTATATGACCAAATTGCTTTCTAAAAGGACTAATCCAAGTTAAAGTGCAAATTTAAAAGCCTCTGAATAAAGCCTAAGAGAAAAGTACACGGCATGGACAATTGACAAATATAATCCAAGAGCAGGAAGTAACCAGATATGAATTGTGAGATGCCGGGAATTCTCCCGTAGTTGGTGCCAAACATACTCAGTCAATTTGATACTGTCTGTACAAACGAAAGGGCACAGAAGGGAGCAGTAATATAACACAGGGTGCGATCCAGGAAAATATCTTATTTATAGAAGAGCAGGGC